ATTCTTTGCATCACTTGGGGACAGTCTAAGTTGTGAGGGTTGACTCTACATTGTAAGGCATGTCTGGTTGCTATGGAGGAAATGCTTGTACATGCTGGGTTGTGTGTGTATGTTGTGGAATAATCAGTGCTCCCAGATGAGTATGAGTGCTCCAGTATGAGTGTTGTGCAGGAAGTTTGGGTCCTGTGGGCATGTCTCTTATGTGACTTGTATGTGTTGCCCATCCTTTCTGTGTACTGCAAGGTATGCCTTAGTGTAATGAAGGCAAGGAGTCATTTTGTAGGGCTTATCTTGGGGATGTGTAAGTGCTGTTAGGTTAGTCTCTGTGATCCAGGGTGAGTATGGCTTCATGAGCCAAATCTGTATGTCATGGGGTAAGTTTGAATATTTTGCCAACAAGCCTTCAACTAGTGGAGCATTTATGGACAGTATAAGATTTGCTGGTTTGCTTCAGCATTTACATGTGCTATATAAATCAAAACTGTGCATTATGGAATCTCAAGATATTTTGTTGGGTTATTATGTGTTATGGGGAGCACCTGGGTCTTTGTGGGCATATCTGTGTGTGGTGGGATATGTCTGTATACTGCCAGGCCAGTATGGATCTTGCCTTGTGCGACTATAATATGAAGTGAGTACTGGTGTCTATGTGTGTACTGAGAGATTTTTCTGTCTGTTTTCAATCCCTTCTGTGTGTTGTGAGACAAGTCAAGAAGTTGTTATACAGTGCATATGTGCATTGAGGGTTTCTTCCCGTAGGTTGTGAGATCAGAGGAAAACATATTGCAAAAGAAAGATTTTTACAGGGCTGATTTGTGTGGGGAGAGTACATTATGGAGAATGTGATTTGTGCTATGAGGCCAATCTGGGTAGTTGGGGGAACATGGACGTTCTGTGGCAAGTCAGGAAGTTGTAGAGTGCAGTTGGGTGACATTTGTGTATATTAGGGGCTTTGTCTCTATATTCTCCAGCACTGCAGACTTGTGCTGTGAGACAAGGCTTGGTGGCATAGAAGTGAGATTTTATGGAACCGATCTGGCGTTGTGGGGTAGATCTGAATGTCATGAGACAAGTTCTTTCCTTGTGTAATAAACCTGGATGATGAGTACTATGCCTAAGGGGTTTTAATTGCATGTGTGCTGCCCAGCCTCTCTCTGTTCTGTGAAGCTAGCATTTCTGTTCTAGAAACAAAAGAGGCATTTATGGGGACAGTGTATGTTGTGGAATTAGTTCATAGATTTTGAGGATGTCTGTCTATTGTGGGGATTATCTCTGTGTCACTGGGCTCGTCGTACAGAGTGAATGTGGGGATTATGAGGTACACCATGCACTGGGGGGGGTTCTGTGTTTTGCTCACTGTTTCTGTGTGCCATGAGGCCAGTCTTGATATAGCAAAGGCAAAAAGATGGGGTATTTTTATGGCCAACCTGTGGGTTGTGAAGATTCTTTTGACCAAGGGCCATTATTATGTGTTGTGGGACAAATCTGAGTGTGATGGAGAGGTCCAGGTGTTTGGGGGTGAATCTAGTTGTGTCGGGTGCATCTTGAGTCTTATGACGTCATTTTGGGTGTTACAGGATGTATCTGTGATTTAAGTGGGTTTTTTGTATGTGTTATTCAACATTCCTATGTGTGCTGAGGCCATGTCTTAATCTGTGTATTCTAGAGTATGCCATATGACATGAAGTAAGGTACAGCCTGGAGTTGCAAGGCAGGTGTGCTTGTGGTGGTGTATTTTGGGTTTATTCAGGGCCATTCTGGGTGTTAAGTGGAAATCTGGGTATTATGGGGGTAAATCCTACTGTTTCAGATTTTATCTTTTCAGCATTTGTGTGTTGTGAGGAAAGTCTCAGAATTGTGGAGACAAGAAAACATTGTAGGGGGTTTTTCTATGTGCTGTGTGGGTGATCTTGATATTGCCATGTCAGTCTGGTGGTAACAGGACAAGTCAGGTTATTACAGATCCAGCTTGGCTACTGCAAAGTAAGTCTGGTTGACAAGGAGCACTCAGGGCTTTGTGGAACAGGTCTGGAACTCCTGCGCTGGCCTGTCTTAGGCAAGTCTCTGGGTTGGTGTGCTACAGTGAGGCTATAATGGGGTGACTCTGGCATTGGGCATGTCTATACATCGTGGTGTTTTATGTGCATTTTGTTCAAAATTTCCATGTGTTCTTCTCTAAGTCTTGGTGCTATGGAATCAAAAACCTATGTTTTTCAGGACTAATCTATGTTTCCTGGGGATTATATGTATTATGGGACACATCCATGTATTTAGGGGAAGGCCTGGGTGTCACAGGGTGAGTTCAGTTCTCACGGGGGTGATTCTATTAGGCTAGGGGCCTGTGTGATTACATTACAGCAAGTCTTTATATTGTGAAAAATATCTGTTATTGTAGAAAGTGCCTGTGTATCATCCATCATCTCTGTGTGCTTGAAGGCCAGCGTTGGTGTTGTGCAGAAAGATATTCTATGAGATCAGTCATTATTTTGTGGGAAGAATTTGAAGGTATGTTTGTGTTCTATGACTCCTGTTTGGGTGTTCTGGAGCTGGTCTGGGTGATGGGGGGCCATTTTGTATCTGACAGGACAAATCTGTGTGCTTCAGATGAATCCAGGTACCATGCAGCAAGGCTAGTGGAAGTGGAGTGTGCTTTTCAACATTTCTTCTACACTAGTTTAGGTCTGGAAAGCATTCCAGGAAGCCCATCTGTGCTGATGGTAGAGTCTGTGGATGCCCACGTGTTGTGAGGTGCACCTGTGTGTTATGGTTCATCCATGGATTGTGGAGCATGACTACTGATTGGCGGGCTAGTGTGGCATTTGGAGTGTAAGTCTGTACGTTGTAGAGTGGATTTGAGCGCTCCAGGGCAAGTCTGGGTCTTCTGTAGTAAGCCTGTGTGGGTGGGGCATATCTGTGCATGTTTTGCTGTGTATGATGTTTCACAGGATGTGCTGCTGGGAGGGAGGTTGTGGCAGGAAGAGGTATTTAATGTGGCCAGTCTGTGTGTGGTAGGGAGAGACTGTTTTCCAAGGCTATTGCTGCATGTTATGGGTTAGTCTGCAGTTGTGAGTTGAGCCTAGATGACATGGGGCTGTCTGTGTGTGGCGGAGCAAGTCTGTGTATTATGGGGCATATGTGTTCATTGAGAGATGTTTAATGTTTGTTGACCAACATATCTGTTCATGAGTCAATTCTTGGCATTTTGTAGGCAACACAGTGTTTGGTTAAACCAATATGTACATTACAGGGAGAATCTGTGTATGGGGGACACATCCTGGTTCCTTGTGTTGTGAAGCCAAGATTAGGTAGTATGATAGGCTTCTGTATTCTGTAGAAGTCTATGTGTTGTAGATTGTTTGTGTCAAAGAGCCAATATGGTGTTCTGGGGTGAGCATGTATATTGTGGAGTGTTTAGTTGAACTGGGATGAGTTTTTATATGTATGAGTGTATGTATTATGGCTATCTTTGTACACTACAGTGTATATCCAATTGTGTGATGAGTCTAGGTGTTGTGCAGAGACTATGGTAAATGCTTGTAGGTGCCGTAGGCTAGGTGCAGTCAAAATAGGTGTAAGGAAAGAGGGGTGAGTTGTGATGTGATTCTTGGATTTATGGGGGATACTCTGCATGCAGTAGGATGTTTCCAGTTGTTTCAGATTGAGTCTTACCGTCATGGTCCAGCTCCATGCATGAAGAATGACAGTAACAATACGAAGATGAACTAACATCAATAATGCCAATTCTTTACCAGGTACCATGCTAAACATTTTATAGGCATTCACTCATTTATTCCTCTTAACAGTTGTATGACATAGGTACCCCTATTATTGCTTATTGATGAGAAAAGTAAGACACAGAGGAGTCAAGAAACCTTTCCAAGGTGACAAAATTAGTAATGATGTGAGATTGGAAGCCAGGCAGCTGGGGGTTCTGAGTACAAGTTTTCCACCACACAGAGTCTAGGTGTTGTGGGCTAAGTTCTGCATTATATGGGTTGATTTAAGGTGAGTTGAGACTAGTCTTGGCCTTGTGCCAGCCTGGGCACTGTGTGTCTGCCTGCCTTTACTTTGTGTAAGTGTTTTAATGCAATTCTGCAAGATGTGGGTGTTTTAATGCAATTCTGCAATATTGTACATTGTGATGTGATACTGTGTATATAGGAAGGGCCTGTGTTTAGGGGGTATCTCTGCATGGTATAGCATGGCAAATCTGTATGATGTGGGGCATGTGGTCGTATGTATGGTAGTTCCAGATTTATGGGCAAGTTAGTACATATGGGGTATACTTATTTATGGGTCAAGCATAACATAGGAGTAAGTGAATGTGTTACAGGACCAGGGTTCTGCAATTATAATGTTATGCTGTAAATTTAGGAATATGAACTTAGGAACATGTTGGTGAACAACTGGGGACTCCATGTGTTATGGGACAAAAATCTGGGTGTAGGAGAGTGTGTCTGTGTGATATAGGGTATACTTATGAGTTTAGGGGGTGTGGATATATGTTGGGGTCTTTGCCTCTGTGAGGTAAGGCTGAGTGCCATGCATCTGCACATTGTGAGCTCGGTCTGTGAGCCTGTGCACTGCTATAACAAAATTTTTAATTTCAGTGCAATTCTGGACTTTGTGAGTGGCTCCTGGTTTAGGGTTCTGCTGTGCTCCACAGGGTGTAAGGATGTTATGGTGAGGTGTCTATGTGCTGCACACTCTTTCTAGATGCTCCAGGGCTAGTCTATGTATTATGTGGTGAATGTTTGTACTGTCCAATGATGGCAGGTATTGGGATAGGCCCTTTTTGCTTTACTAGTGATGGTGGTGGTAGAAAGGGGTGGTGATTGTAACATAAAGTAACAATTCTAACTGCTCCTATGCAGCAGGCACTGAACTAGGCACTTAACATATCTTCATTCATTTATTATTCACAATAGAACTTTGAAGTAGGCACTACTGTTATCTTGGTTTTACAGGTGAGTAACCAAAGAAGAAAAAAATATACTTACCCATGGTGACACAATTAGCAAGAATGGGGATCTGCATTCAAACCCAGGTGGTCTGGGTCCACGGGCCTTGCTCTTAACCATTACACAAGCTGTATCTCTGTTGTAGGCCAATAGTATGGTAACCAAAGCATGTGTGTGCATTAGGACAGAAATCTCTACAAAGGAGGGATGATGTGTGTGCTGCATGTCTACACAATGGGAAATGCTTTTGTATATTGTAGGTTTTGTACTCCGGAGTGATTCTATGTGTGGTGAAACAAACTTATGTGTTTACAGGCATGCCTGGGAGCTTGAAGGCGTGTCTAAGTGTTGTGTGTATGATCTGAGTACGGAATGGGGTAATTCTGTCTCAAAGGCTTGTCTGTACACTTAGGGTGAGTCCCAATATTCAGCAGCATCCATATGAGTGGGGAGGCAAATATATACATTGATGGGAGAACTGGGGAGCATGATGGGGCACGTCTTGTTTGTGTAGGCCTTAGTGTGAGCAGTGAAACCATTCTGGGTGCTCTGTGGTAAATCTGGGTCACCTGGCAAATGGTTTCATGTGTTTGGGGGCATGCGTTCTATGTATCTACTATAAGAAATATGGGTTTGTGACATGAAGCTGTACAGCAGATATGTGCTGTGACATAATTCTGAGTGTTGAGGGGGTGAGGTTTCATGCTGAGGGAGGTGCCTGCATGTTGTAGGCTTTTGCATCTATGGTGTGGGCTTAGTGAGGGTACCGTGGGTCACACATGTGATGGCGTCCTGAATGCTTTAGAGAAAGGTGAGGTGCTGAGGCAGGAGTGTCTGCTGTGGTACAAGTCTGTCCACTGGAGTGCCAGTTTGCACGCTGTGATGTATCTGAGGAACTGGGCTGCATTTTGGTGGCACAGGGCTACAATGTGTGTCTTGTGGTAACTGTGGCTGTGGAGGAAGGCCCAGATGTTGTAGGGCAGATGTGTGCCTATAAGGCAAGTGTGTGCACTGTGTGGTTGGCATGTCTGTTGGGAAATGAATGGTGCACTGGAGGACTAGTTTTTTGTGCTGTGGTGCAATGCTGTGCATCCAGGCGTGACATACATGCCGCAGAGTGTACTGTGGCATCTGCGCATGGCGGGAAAAGCCTGCCTGAGTGCTGTGGGGAGTGTCTCTGTAACATGGGTTGAGTCTGGGTTTCATGGGGTAAGCATGCATAACTGAGGGAGTGTCTGCTTAGTGTGGGATGATTCTGTGTCCTCTTGGGGTAGTGTGTGTTCTGTGGTACTTGTTTGTGTGCCATGCAGTGAGTCTGTGTCTCATGGGAGTCTTTAGTGGCATGGGGTGGCTTTTTGAGCTGTGTCATGAGTTTGTGTTTGGAGGGAAAGTCTACATTCTGTGGAGAGATTGTGTGGTCTGGAGTGATTCTGTGTGCTGTGGGCAGCATCCTCTTCTGTGGTGAGTTTCCACGAGGTGAGGAGAGTCTATATGCTGTGTGGCCTTGAGAGGGTCGATGTGACGTGAGGGGAGTCTGAGTGCTATAAGACATCTATGAGCTTGGGTTCAGTCAGTGGGGCATGCATAGGAGCATCATGTACCATGAGGAGAGTCTGTGTGCTGCCGGGAGAATCTGTGTTCTATAAGTTGAGTCTGTGTGTCCTGGGCAGGGTCTATGTAATGTGGAGCCAGTCTCTGGTGTTGGGATTGTCTGTGTGTCATGGGTAGAGTCTTAATGGTGTCAGAAGTCTGTTATGTGGGCAGGTCAGCACCCCTTAGCCAGGTCTCTCTGTTGAGAGCATGTGTGTGCCTCTGGGAGAGTCTAGTGAACTGGACAGTGTCCCTGTGCTATAGGGCAAGTCTTCCTTCACTGGTTCTTTTGGAGGCACCTGGGGACATGACTGGAGGCTAGGGAGGAGTCCGCATGCTGCAGGAGAAATGCATGCTCTCTGGCCAGCTGTAGGCATTAGAGGGATAGTTGGACACGCAGGCGCAAGTCTGTTCCAGGCAAGGCTCCCTTAATATCTACAAATAACAACAGACAGCACTTTTTTAATGGTTACGATATACCAGATACTGTTCTAAAGGTGCTACTATTATCCCCATTTTACATATGAGAAAACTGAGGCAAGGAGATTAAGTAACTGTCCCATGGCCATACAATCAACAAATGGTTGCACTTTGAAACATGGCAGTCTGTTTCCTGTACCCACACTACATGGATCCCCTTGGGGCCCTAGGGGCAACGGGCCATTAGAGAGACTTTGTAGTCACTGGTGAAAATACTGAACACAGCTAATTTAGGAGGAAGTAAAAGGAAGAGGCTCAAAGCATTCTGAGGACTGTTTTTTAACGCAATGTTGTGTGCGCAATGACTATGGCACTTCACACAGAAAAACTGACGTCATGTCTGCGGAATAACTCCTTCAGCAGTCGCTGCCCCCAAGACCCCTCCCCTCACCCCACAGCCGCATTCTGCTACTGCAGAGGAGTGGATGCGCATGCCCTGGTGAGCTCCCGTTGCCAGGGAAACCAGCCTCCAGTCATAAACAAATCACAGCCTAATGCGGCAAGTCGGGAAATGACTGAGACTGTCTATGAGGCAAAGTTCCTTGCAATAAAGGTGGGCAAGGCAGCCTCCCACTCACCCCATTTTTCCTTCCAGTCAGTAAAGACTAGAGGCCAGGGCCAGAAGTCAACAGAAAAAGAAGGCTATGTTGCAGGCAGGGGATGCAGCACTGGGTAGCAGTTGATTTTTTTTAACTGTCAAATATTTCTACAGCAATATTTAACCCACCTTCTACTAAAAGCCTCCATGTTTTATGTCTTGAGCCTTCCATCTGCAGTGAAAAGAAGTGGATTATTGGGGTATCTCCCTATCTTGAAGAGATGATAACAGTGGTAGCTTGGATTAGAACTCACCCTCCATCCTTTGAATACTAGAGCATACTACTGCCAGCAACAAGCTGACAAACATTGTTATTTCTGCTCTTCATACATTTCTGACTTTTTCCTCTGATACCATTCTAGAAAATTCCAGGCACTGACTCCAGACATCTTTAACTCTTCGAGTACCTGAGAAGTAGAAAAAGAGGTTGAAAGGAGGAAACTTAGGACTAACACTACCAGGATCCCCCACACATGGAGTTATTTCTTTTTAAACATACAATTGGGTAGTTAGTTGTGTCCAAGGGAGCACATTTAGGCAGTGGTTTTATATAATTGGATTCCTCAACTTTTCATGTAAAAAAACATGTGACAAAGATAAAATTTTCAAATATTTAAAATGAAAAAGAAATCCTGTTTGAAAACCACTGTCCACAACTGCATGTGCCTAGGGGTCTTGAAAGGCAGAGCACAAACATGATGCTTTAGTATGCTGCCAGGCGCTACGGGAAGGTACGAATACACTGTGGATGGTAACCATCTTGGGTGGAGAGAAAATGGCCGACCTGTGGAAAGCTACACCCTATCTAATGGGAGAACAGCTGTTGCCGTATCAAATCAGTGGAAGAAGGTTGGATTATTCAATAAATAATGCTGAGACAACTGGCGACCTATTTGGAAAAGAAACAAAATTAGACCCTACTTTATACCATTTATCAAAATGAATTACAGATGGATTAAAGACTTAATTGTAAAACATGAAGAAATTGAGTTACTAGGGAAAAAGTACAGGTAGATACGTATACAGGTGAATGTTTCACAGGAAACAACTCACCAAATCAACAATTGACAGATGTAGAAATCTAAAACCATAAAGCTGCAAAATGCCAAAAACAACCACAATAAATGATAGAAATCAATGAACAAACAATGACTGGAAAATAATGCTTTTGCCACATATGATATATAAATTAGGCAATATGTCTTGGGTCAAGAGAAGAAACCTTAAACTGGTTCATACCATTTGATCCAGGAATTCCACGTCTGAATTTATCCTAGGGGGGGAAAAACAGAAAAGCACACAGAGATTTATATGAAAAAAATGTTCCTTAAATTATTTGTAACAGCAAAATAATGCACACATATACATTCAACATTGGACATTTAGTGAGACTCCTTTATGATCCAAATTAGGCATCCAAACGACGTCACACTCTTGAGGGATATTTTAAAATATGGGGAGTTGCTCCCAAGATATATTTAATGAATAAAGCAGAATAAAAACTGCATGTACACACAGTCTTCATCTTATATAAAATATACATTTCTATGTATATATTTAGAGAAAACTGACAGTAATTAGGTTAATAGAAATTACCTTTGGGCTATAGGATTTGAGGTACTTCTTATAGTCTTTATATTTTTCCAAATTTTCTACAAAAATATTTTTTATAATAAAAGGCAAAACAGCATTTTAACAAGCATATAAAATCTCTGGGAGTGCAGAGAAAAAAGTCTAAGAACAAAGACAATATAGCAAAGATTAAGCACCAATGTCAACCAATGGAAAATTACACAACATGAACTCACTATGCGCCACAGCAAGATGACAGCATCATTTGTGTGTTAGTATGTATAGAATTTCTTATACAAGATGGAGTCCTGGAAATTTTTCTTCACTACACCAGAGAACAGTCACATGTCCCTAGATGCGTCAGTCACTCTCTGCCGCAGTGCTCTGCTGATGCCCCCCTCCCTGCCTTCAATACACTCTCTCCCTTTCCCCTGCAAAACATGCTACCAGCAGACATGTTCAACTTGGGAAAGAGCCTGTTTTGTGGACTTTCTAATAAGCTTTTCCATTTTCATTTTTCCTCTGATTGCTGCTCTTTCATCTAACTTCAATCCAATCCAATCTATTTTTTTCTCCTTTCCTCCTGTTGAAGTGTCAAAACAATCCAAATTCCAAAGAAAATTTTAAAAACATCACTTCATTACATTTTCTTTTTTTTCTGGCAGAAACCAGTCTACAAAAACATAAACAAACGTAAAAGCTGTGTTGTTAGGAATCTCTGCTACCCTACTCACATCCATTTTTAGAAAAAAAGAACCACTGAGAACATTCTGTCTTTACTGTATAAATTGACATCCAATATACAAATGATTTTTTCCAATGAAGGCACACTCAAAATATTTGTCATTTTTTTCAGAGTTTTTCATCCTAAAGTTGAATTCTAATCTTTGCAGTTCAACACATGCTCATCTCTCACATGAAGCAATCAATCTTAATGTTATTACAGGCTGCCCTCTCCCTCATTCTCTCTCCCATACAAACAGCTTGTCACAAAATTTTCTTAATTAAAAAAAGAAAAAAGACATATCATTGCATCCTTTTCTCCAGCGCAAAATATTTTTCTCATGCTCTCTACACACCGAAAAAAGAAAGCAGATCTGACAACATCTTGATACGTAACACATTTCATCATGTTTAAGCCAAACACAGAGCTGAGATACATTTCTGAAGGCAATTTCCCATTTTAGTGATATCTTCATAAATCTTATTGGGGGAAGTATCTTACCAGAATCATGAGGGGAAGGCTCTTTATTTCCTTCTAGCAACTCATTCACCATTCAAGAAATAAGCTTTAAACTGGAAAAGCAACTATGGAATATTTGTGATGTAATCCAGCTTCTTAGTGCCACTGACTTGAGAAATTCCTATACAGCTCTGTATTTTTCTACTGCATCAAAACACGTCAGTAGCTTTGAAAAGCAGAGCCTCGGTAACTATTTTAAGAACGCTTTCTCAGCTACTTACCAGTTGCGTGCTCTCTGTCTCTCCACCAGCTCTGAGGCTGTCGCACTGAAGGGGTGGGGGAAAGCAGCAACGCAACAGCCACTTGAAAATAAGCTGTGCTCTGAAAAAGGGATTAGCCCAATGCAAAGAAATGAAATGCCTTAAGATTCTCCTCAAAAATCCCCCCCAAACGTAACATCATGCTAAACATTATATGCTAAAATGTGTGTGTTCACTGAAGAACAGAGTTTAATGATTAAACCTCTGATACGAAACATACTTAAATTGTCTTGATTTCCAGTGGAACCCCTACAAGACCATGGGCTTTTGTCTCTTCCGTCTCCTAGCAACATTCTCATTAATATTTTTTTCCTGCGGTAGTCCTACTAGGCATCAGAGAACACTGACAAGGTCTGATCTCTGATGACAAGCATTATCATTTTCATATTCAATATATATTTTCCCCAGGTAAGTAATAAGGAAAGTCAGGAATGCAATAACAAGCTATCCAGAGGAAAGAGTATGATTCAGATGACATTCCACAACAAAAAGCAGAGATTGTTTTTGCCCCCTCTCTTGATGCAATGCACAGTGGACCTGTGCTGTAATGCAAATATGTGAGTGTGTTTAATACCATTGAACTTGAAAGCCATTAAAATGATAAATGTTATGGTATGTGTATTTTGCTAAAATAAAAAAGAGCCATTCATTGACCCCACAGGTCTGTGAATCTCACCACATTGAAAACACTGTGTTGAGAGCAGGGATTATAAGTGAATCAAACACAGGCTACTCCCCCTTCTAAAAGGTCATAATCTAATAATATGCACATGTTGCAAAGTAGAAGTATTTTGTATGATTTATCTTTTTCCTTTATCAACTTTAAGTAACATTTGCAAGTAAGACTATTACATGATTTGCCTCAAGTAATGAACCAATAGGTGGAGGAAATAAAAATAATTAATTTTTAAATACATAAATATATATTGCATATCAATTGACAATGTTCATTTATCATTACAGTGCAGTTTTTATAATATGTTGGCTTATTTTCACAAACCTAAACTATCCAGTACATTAATCTTCTTTTTGAAAAATAATTTTTACTACATAGGAAATACCTGACAATCCAGTTCAATACCTTATGCTGAAAGAAGGAGGAGGAGGAGGAGAAAAAATAAATTTTAGAGATTAAGTAACAGAACTTGGATATCAACCTTTCTTACCTGTGTTCTTAATCACTACTTTTTGGCCGGGGGTGGGCCGGTACTGAGGATTAACCCAGAGGCACTTTACTGCTAGGCCACATCCCCAGCCCTTTTTATTTTTGATTTTGAGACAGGGTCTCACTAAGTAGTCTAGGCTGTCCTCAAACTTTCACTGCATGTTCTTAATCACAACATTGCTCATAGCATCACAAACATCAAGGGTGTTTGGAGTGTTAATTTTTATAAAAAATGAGGATTACAAGGACCAATTATTCCCAAGGATTCTTCACAGGTAGGTTTGGGGCAAGCCCAGATATACACATTTTCAACATATATCACCATTTGCTCCTAACCAAAAAACATTCAACACAATCTTTGTTATTGGTAATATTATCAGGGAAGTAAATCCTAAAACTCTGCACAATAAGACATACACACATACACAGAGATACTATATATGTATTACAGTATGACAAGAGCAAATGAATAAATGGATTGACTTTTTTTGGAAGCAGAGTTCTAACTCTGGGAGAAAGGAGATACAAATATAGAACCTGACAAAATGAAGAGAATCCTGAAGACATCTGCGGAGACAGATTTGAATTGGAAGTATTAGTATAAACTCATGATTTTCTAAATGTATATTATTAGGCCCACCCACTGAAAGGAGGCAATGACATCTCAGTAGCACTAAGTTTGACACAGCTGTAATAATGAATACATTTAATGCCTACATGTTGCTTTCCAAATACTGTTTGTTCCCCCACTGAAAGAAAACAAGGTTTACTGGAGAAATAGCTGATTCTATATCTAGTATAGAAAATATAAGATGAGTTTGAAACATATCATATAATTAAGAACCAGTTAAGGATGAGAACATACCAAAGGACACAGAAGATGGCTTAAAAGGATTCCCAATAGCCAAACTGAGTTCAATTTTAACATGAAAAATAAAAATGATGGTAGTTAATTATAAAACATTGAATATAAAGAATCTATGAGTCCACAATAATTACAAAAAAAAGTGATGATGGGCAGGTAAATCACTTCTTTATAAAATAATATTAGTGTCTATATTTATAAGGAATGAGAAAATTTGTATATGACCATTTAGAAAACATCAGTGAAATGATGGATTTAGGCAAGGATCATCAATGCACACCAAAAACACCAGGTGAAATATTAAGGAACAGAAAATTCACAGGATTTAAAATATCTCCCAGAAATTATTTATTAATTATAAAAGAGGAAAACATTTATTTTCAAGGAGAGATTTAGCAGATACCAACTTAATAAACTAGTTAAACTTCATATTATCAATGACAGTGAAAAGGAAATGTGCCACAGCTGGGATAAAATGGAAAGCACCCATCACCTAGGTAAATTCTCGTCCAAAATATGTAATCTGGCTAGGTGCGGTGGTGCATGCCTGTAATCCCAGCAGCTGGGGAGGCTGAGGCAGGAGGATCATGAGTTCAAAGCCAGCCTCAGCAACACTGAGACTGTAAGCAACTCAGTGAAACCCTGTTTCTAAATAATATATAAAAAAAGGGCTGGGGATGTGGCTTAGTGGTTAAGTGCCTCTGAGTTCAATCCCTGGTACCCACCTCCATCCAGTGCAATCTGACTCTCATCCTGAAGAAACAACCAGAAAATTCATACTGTGAAACATTCTAGAAGACAACTGGCCTGAACCTTGCAAAATGTCATTGTCATATTTTCAAAAAGGGGTAGGGGGCAGGAAAACTTCTAGATTAATGATTAAAGAGATATGACAACCGACTGTAATGTGCGATTCTTGATTGCTTCCTGGGTAGAAAATAAAAAGGGAAACTAAAAGCCATAATGTATACAAATTAGTCTTAAATACTGTAGAAAAAATTATGAAGACTTGGTAATTGGTAAATCTAGGTCAAGTATAACATTCACTATATACTCCTCTGTAGGTTTCAAGTATTTAAAATGAAAAAAATTATTAAACAGTAGAATTCAGAAAACAAAGAAAATGCTTTCAGAAAAATAATTTCTGCACGATAATCATATTTAAAGGCAAAATTTTTATACACCTTGGATTTAACGACAATCATACTCACCAAATGGATGAATATTTGTCATGCGCCATCTAGTGGTAAAATTCTAATTCTAATTTACCATGACTGGAGGATTTCTAATGAACACTGAATGATCAATGAACCATTAAATATTATTTTAATTCTTATTAAAATAAATAAATAAGCATTTCACATTACCATCTACCAATAGAGATAAAAGGAATTCTCTTAATTTTCCATATGCGTTCTTGGTAACAAAGGAATGCATCTGGTGAGATGTCCTGTTGACCTGATGCATCTTCACACAAGGTGTACAAGCAAGGCCCAGGTACAAGCTGACCTAAATCTTGACCAAGTATCCTGTGAGACTCCCTGGAACATGTGAGATAAACAGTCTTGTGAGGACTATTTCTCACTACTTTTCTATTTTGTGGAAGCGGCCAGGGGCAGTTTCTCACCAACCTTCCTTACTCTAGAAAGGCATGGGGATTTCCATCTTGCTTCCTCCCTCAGGGTCCAACTTCAAGCTATAGAATGGCTTAGATAGACTATTTGGAAACAGCTCCTTTGTGACAGAATGACCCACTGCTCATGTCATCTGTCATCTGGACCCTCTGGTTTACTACCTTCCTGGGGGACCAAGGATGTGGGGAGTTGACCCCATGATAATCTTGCTTATGCCATCTGTTAGTAATGAACTTCTGCATCTATTTCAGACTCAGTGTATTCTTGCTGGCTCAATCAAGGACCGGGTGGTAAGCCCATAGCAGTTCCTGCTGATTACAGACTTCATGATTACTTGACAGGGCATTTTTCCTTCTCAAAACGAAAGGGACAGAGTTAGAATGTTTTAGCCTTTTCTGATTTGAGAACCCTTTAAACAGTAATATAACTCTGGTTTTAAAAATCATTTTTGTAACTTTTATGTGACTTGTGATAACAGTTCTGAAGTACAGTGCTAATGGTTTGTTTAAATTTGTATCCATTTGAAAATTTCTATTACATGTAAAAAATGTTGACCTTTGCCCCATAATGAGCAATATGCATAATAGAAAAAAAGGTAAAAACCTGTATAACTGTCAAAACCAACACAGTTAACTCCCAGCCCTCAGCAAAGTAATAAACCACTTGAGTGACTGAGTTATGGTTATCAGCTGATCTCTACTAGCCACCCTAAAATACATTCTTGAGGCACCAAAACATTGTTTTATAAAAGGGAAATAGTTTAGTTAATTTGTTAAATGAAAAGTGGATGTAATTATCACCTTGATGATTTAGAATTTCTGGAAAAGCTCCACATCCACTACAGGGAAGTTCTTACAGCTGCGGTGGAAGATTCTGCATTAGTCTAGCACAAAGAATTCTAAAAAAATTGATGCCAACACTTAACCTTATTTAGTAACCCATGAGTAAGTCTACTTACTCTTTTAACATCTCTAGTCTAAAACTACCATCATCTCTGGCCTAAGGAATCCCTACAGCCTCCTACTAGGGCTGTGGCCTCTGCCAACATGTTCTTCACACAGCAGCCAGAATGATTTCTTTAACATGGTTTTATTAAAGCATAATTTTCATAGAGTGAAAGGCACAGATTGAAATGTACAATTTACTGAGTTTTGAAAAATGCACAGAAATATCAAGATATATAACACAGCACCATCTCCAAAAGGACTCCTCTGGATATCACTGAAAATGGCAGAGTGGGGACTGCAGGGCTCCATTATTTCATGAAAGTCACTAATGAGCTTATAAAAACTCTCAAGAATCAACTTTTTGGAGAATTCTGGAATCTAGTAAAAAATTAGAAAAACCA